AAGCCACCAGATCTGGCCAATGGACCACCCTGCTGGGACCCTCAGGTACTCAGCTGCCGTGGTTTAAAGTGCAGTCTGTGCATGTCTCCGCTCTGCGCGGAGGGGGAGGCTTTGTGTGATCTCCCAGCCCAACCCTCAGCTCCTATAGGCTAGAAACAACCAAATAGGAATTGATCCCAGACAATCTCTCAGCTCCATTGGCTGGAAACAACCAGCCAATAGGAGCTAAGAGATTGGCCTGGGGGCTTCTTTCCCTTCCCAGAGCTGAGTGCCATGCAGAGGGAACAGCCTGCTCTTTAAAGTGATCTGGGGCTGCAGCAGACAGGGAGCCCAGCCTGCCCTGTGGGGTGCTGCAGGGAGGTGCTTACCTGACTCTGGCTGGGAGATGCGTACCTGACTCTGGCACCTTGCCTCTCCTGCACCCCAACTCCGTCCCCCAGGTAACCATTCAAACAAGAGGTGGACAATAATTTTTGGTGGGGGGACCACTCCAAGATTTTGGAAAGTGGTCAAGGGCCTCAGTTTTCTGTGGAGGAGATGCAGGGTCTAGGGTAGATGTTGGGAGCAGAAGGGCACACGGGATAAGGGACTGGGGTGCAGAAGACAGGATGAAGACTGAGAGGGCGTTTGGGAGAAGGATGTGGGTTGTGACCTGGATCAGAGGATTGGGGTGTAGAGTTAGGGAGAGAGTATGGGTGCAGGAGAGGATTCTGGCCTTGGGGAGGGACTCCAGGAGGAGGTACAAGGTCTGGGAGGCAATTGTGACAAGGGAAAAGGGGGTGCAGACTGTAGAGGGTTTGGGTGGTGACCTGGTGCAGGGGATTGGAGGGAAGGATGTGAAAAGGTGTTTTGGGTGCAGGAGAGGATTCTGGCTGGGGGAGGAGTGTAGAAGGGGATATAGGGTCTGGGAGGGAGTTGTGACCTGAAGCAGGGGGAAGCAGAAGGAGGGGGTGCACTAGAGGGAGAAGTCTAGTAAAAGGTAATGCTTTGTAAATGAAACAGAAAATCAGCACCTCCCACATTCCTACCTCACTATTTACCCTATATTCAATGGCCTTAAAAAGTGAACGTACTGTAGAAAGCTTACCAAAAAAAGCAGTCTCAGTTAACTCTTCTAAGAGATCTGCTTTTCTAAAGGAGAATATAGAATGCAATGCTCCAGAAGCAGAACTTTATAAAAGGTGTAACATGGGATCAGTGGCAATGCCCTATTTAACGAAGTAACCTTAAAAGTATACAATATATAACATGTATGCAAGATGCAAATTACAATTTAACAAAAAAAATCTTGTAATCTCCCCTCCCCACTTACAGTTTTGGAGACCAACTGCGCAAAAAAACAGGTAATTTGTTACTGAATCTACTCCACTCTTCAAGGAACCATCTAATTCATAATAGATGTTTTATGTTCATCCAACAAGTAATCTAATTGGTTGAATATCCCAATATGTTTTATATTGTACTACAGCCATTAAACATTTCGGGACAAATTCAAGCCTGTTGTAATTCTACTGACTGCAATGGAAATGTTACAAGACTAGAATTTGACCATTAGAGTCAACCTAGCAAAGCAGAAAAGGCAATTACAGTCAATCATAGAATCATAGAATGCTAGAACTGGAAGTTGACCTCAAGAGATCATCAAGTCCAGACCTGCCCTCAAAGCAGGACCAAACGCCATCTAGATCATCCCTGATAGATGTCTATCCAATCTGCTCTTAAATATCCTCCAGTGATGGAGATTCCACAACCTCCCTAGGCAATTTATTTCAGTGTTTAACCACCTTGACTGTTAGGAAGGTTTTTTCCTAATGTCCAACCTAAACCTTCCTTGCTGCAATTTAAACCCATTGCTTCTTTAACTATCATCAGAGGCCAAGGCGAACAATTTTTCTCCCTCCCCCTTGTAACACCCTTTTAGATATTTGAAAACCACTATCATCTCCTCTCTCAGTTTTCTCTTTTCTAAACTAAACAAACCAATTATTTCAATCTTCCCTAGTAGGTCATTTTTGTTGTTCTTCTCTGGACCTTCTTCAATTTCTCCACATCTTTCTTGAAATGTGGTGCCCAGAACTGGACACAATACAGGCAGTCCCCGGGTTACGTACAAGATAGGGTATGTCTACACTACCCTCCTAGTTCGAACTAGGAGGGTAGTGTAGACATACCCTAACTGAAAACCTAGAAACCAGGTCAGAGCATGTCCTGAATGAAGAGGGAAAAGGGAATCACACTTCCACAGATAATAAAATCAAATGGACTCTGCTTTGTCCTGCTTGTCAGAATTCCCAGAGCCAGTGAAGGAGGTAAGAAGCTGATGATTTCCACAGGCTCCTCTCTCCGGGGAATGAAAACAAAAGGCTGCAGCCCTCTGGCAGTTAATGAGTAGTTAACAGGAGCATGGCAGCAAGAGCTTAGTTGATAAATGCTATTATTTAAGACCTGCATATTAAGTAATGTATTCAATGGTTATTGATTTCTCTGTCCAGGGAAAGGGGCAAGCTGATAGCATGAAGTTAGAACGGACCTTCCCATGCAACACATGGGGAGCTGAAAGAGCTCTGGCTAAAGGGCAGGGGGAAGAATGGGGAGGAGAGTTGTAATCCTGCTTTCTCTTAAATGTGCAGGGCGCACAACCTGGCTGTGGTGTTGCTGTGATAGCAGTGAGCAGCTGGATTAGATCCCTTTCTAAGAAGTGAGCATGCAGGAGGCAGGGAGCCACATTCACTATGCAGCTGGGAAACTGAACAGCTGGTGTGGAGAGGGGAGCAAGTAGGGTGTTAACTACCCCAGAACCTGCACCAGGGCAACACTGAAATCGTGTATCTCCAGTTTGGAGATGTTAAGGCAGTTGGCATGCATCCCTAAGGAAGAGTTGCAGCCTCATGGGCTGTTGTGGGAACTGTGTGCTTTTGGGGACAAAGGCAGCTTGGGCCTAGCACAGCCCTACTGGCCAGCAGTCTCAAATGCCAAATGTCAGTGCTTTGGAGAAGATTTTACTCTGAGAGCTGATAGGCTTTCATTCCCAGGGAATGCTGCTGCCTCGTAGGCTGAGTTGTCACACTTTGCTGTCTCAGTGTATCAGGCAGAGCGCTGAGGGGGATTGGTGAGTTTCTTGTGATGGGTTGCCAAGTGATGGGTTGCCATCTGTCAATAAATTCTGAAGAGTGTGGAGAGCCTTGTTTCTGTGGCAGCTGCTTTCACATGGACATAATGTTGTAGGACTAGCTCAGTGGAAAATGTGATGACCGATCACGTTGTGCAGATTCTATGCATAGTTGTGTTTGACCTTTTTTGCATTTGCTCCTGAACTAGTCATTCATGTTTTGCTGATCCTGGTTCTCCAACACACACAGCTCTGCTATAATACTTCTTAATCCTCTCCTGAAGCCGTCCTGCTATTCCAGTCCTTTACTTTGTATACTACTCTGCTGATGCACCTCACTCTTGATCTCCAGTCTCCTCACTAATCCAGTACTAGGCCATTGTTGTTAGTCATGCATTCAGAGAGCTCTGTCAGTGCACTTGAGAATGAATTGGTAATATACCATTTATCATGGGCCTATCCTGGACTAGACTTTCCCAAACTTTGGCCTGGATAAATATCTATTTTGAACTAGATTGAGACTTTCCTTCGTGATGTATATTAGATGCGAACCCAGGTCTGCAGATAACTAGCTTCTTTCCTTCCTCTCAGACCTCTAGTGTTAACAAGCTGAATTCTCCTCTTCTTGTTCAGAACACTCCTGCTAATGCATCCCAGAATCACTTTTGTTTTCTTTGCAACAGTGTTACACTATTGACTCATATTTAGCTTGTGGCCTACTATGACCCATAGATCCTTTTCTGCAGTACTCCTTCCTAGACAGTCACTCCCATTCTGTATGTGTGAAACAGATTGTTCCTTCTTTGTGCATGATTGTTAGATTTCTATTATTTCTGGTTTTCTTCTCCATTCACTACCTTGGTTACCTTACTTACTCCCTCAAGCAGTCAACTATTCTGCCTTGAACATTTAGGCTATGTCTACATGGCAACATTATTTCGGAATAACTGACCTTATTCCAAAATAACATAGTCCGCAACTACACAGCAAGCAATTATTTCAACACAAGGTTGACTTCTTACTCCAACTACTGTAACCCTCATCTTACAAGGAGTAAAGGAAGTCAGAGGAAGGGTGCTGTAACTCAAACTTCCTGCTGTGTAGACAGTGCCAAAAGCTGAAATAAGCTATTTCGACCTAAGCTGTGCAATTGATGTAGCTCAAGTTGCATAGCTTATTTCAGCTTTAGCCCTGCTGTGTAAACGTGCCCACTGTCTACAGTGGGGAGTTATTTTGAAACAACAAGGTGAGAGTCCATACTACCAAGCCTGTTATTTCTAAGTAATGGGCTTGTTATTTCTAAATAATAATTCCTGCTTGTGAAGAGGAATAAGCTTATTTTGAAATAGTTATTTCAGGATTGATTATTTTAAAATAACGTATTTCAAAATTACCTGGTTGTGAAGACATAGCCTGAGAAGTGAAATAACCTTGAGGTAATGGGAGTCTTTTACCCCAGTAGAAAGTCTTGGGACAAATTCTCTATGGTCAGTTCATGCTGGCACCTTGTACTCAGCCCTGCAATTACCACAAACTCCCTGCAGCCTTCCAAGCAACTCTATTTCTGAAAGCTGCTGAAGGTTTTAAATCAGGGGTTTAGTCAATCTGTAGCCATGAAGATTTGTTATTTCTTCAGTGTACACATGTTGCATTCAGATGGCACTGGGAATGATCTGCATCTATGGAACGGAGAATAAACAACTATCATTTAACTATGTTGTAAAGAAACTATTTTATACTCTTTCAAAAGCTATTGGAATTGAACAAAAAAGAAAAGAAAATTAACCTGGACTAAATCTTTAGCAGAGATGCAAAAAAAATAGGTAACGAAACTGCTCTGTTCACTGTTTACCAGCATTATTTTCATGTAGTTAAACTTTATTCTGCTTACTACATTTCTCCATCGTTACGTTTTTCTGGTTGTCACGGGAATCCATAGCTGACACTGAGTTCATTTATCATGTGATAGCAAATCCTGAAGTCCAGGAATATTATTTGGAACATGTATACAAATTTGGATGGCTCTTCTCTTGGCTCTGTTGCTGCACCTTGGACCTGAATAGACAAACAGAACACACTCTGAAGTGGTCTGGCACTGCAGACCTAATGTACATGTGCAGAGTCTAAATATCATAGTGGTGGACACCACAGAGCAGTGAGACCCACCCTTTGGGATACAAACCACCAATGGGCTGTGGAAAGGTTCTAGATGGGTCACAGTCTGCTGTGGTGAGGAGGCCAATAGTAAGAAAGGGGCTGGAGGATGAGCCTGCCTTGCACTCACTCCCCAGTGGCAGCTCTTGTCCCATATGACTAGGCCAAACTCCCTGATTTGGGTATCGTGACCTGGTACATAGGATTGCAGTGCCACTCAGGTATGGTTTGGCTGCCCTGCCATCATGACAGGCGTATGGTCACACCAAATCTGATTAGCACTGCAACCTCGTGTACAGGGTCTCAGTGCTACTAAATTTAGCACAGCCACACTTATGCCATGATGGGGCCAGGCCAAATCTGAGTGGTGCTGTGAGACTGTACCCCAGATCTCAACATAGAGTGAGGAGCTGGCCCAGTTCCATAGGACAGGAGCCACAAATACATGGTAAGTAGGTATTGGGCTTGCTCTCAACATTCAATCCCCCGCCCCTGCTTTCCAATCCCAGGCCTCCTGTCTGTACCAGGCAAGAATTAGGGTTGTGGTTTCAGGGTAGAAGGGAAGCTGTGGGTAGTTGGTATCCCATTGACAGAGTGAGGAGACAGAGAAAAAGGATGCTGGCCTAAGATTTTTCCTCCTTCCCTTCCTATACCATGAATTTGGACCTTGGATGAGTTGACGTTAGTGGCTGAACTTTGTAAAAAGTTTGGGATAAACTGCCACAGGAAAAAGAGAGATTGTATAGCAATATCAATCCCACAACATAAAATATTGCTTGACATTAATACTGACAATTTCAGCCAACTGAGCAACCTTAAAAAAATTAGAAAGGATTTTCAATTGTCCATGTACTTATCATTGGCAGCCAGTAAGTGTTCTGCATTGCCACAACAGTTGATACTCTTGGCATGCAAACAGACAAATTAGATAAAACACAAAATGCTGTTGCTAGAAGGTTTCTCTGTACTACTTAACATTCTGGATTTTCAGAAATAAATGCGCAACAGCTAAAAAAAGAGAGAATGAGAGCTGCTCCTTAAGGCAAACCGGCACAGCTCGTTCTGCCCTGCTTTATGCTGGTTTCATGCAGACAAGCTCCAAGTGCAAGCTCCCCTGTAGCTACCTAGCCTGCCAGTGGGACCAGATCCCTCTCCCCCACCTGCAAAATAAACTCCACATCTTCTCCGAGCAGTAGCTTGCAACACCAACAGTCCTCAGTTCATCACATTATGAGCTGCTTAGAAAAATCACAAGTCGATGTTTAGCAGCTGGCTGTCATAATGTGGCTGTAGTCATCAACAGGTCATTATCATCAAGAATGTACTTGCGTTTGTCACCCTAGTAGAGCAGCAGGTTATATATCCAATCTTCAGTGCCTAAAGGCATCTGTCATAATTAGTAATGTGTGGCAATAATTTTCCAAAATGGTTTTATTTGTGCACATGCAGCACAAACATTCCCTGCTTCTTCCCTTCCTTTATTTGGATGGGACCTTAACCACATGTGGCATGTAGTAATGAAACACTATTTTAAATAGTATTTGTTGTAGGCCACAGCACACTTCCAAGCTGATAGAGAAAGCTCCTCTCCCTCTCCTCCCCCTCCTCCCTGGCCTGGTTTAAAGTATCTATTCCTTTTTAGTTTAATATGGCCCTTTTCTAAGATCTTAAATTTGAACTTGATTTCTGAGCTTATTGTTTCCTCTGTGTGTGTGTTACATCAGAAATACATTTCCTGGGCTGCAATGTTATCAAGTCAGGGTCCAGCTGTACTACAATCTTTAGCTATGGGATACGTGGGAGCACCCCCTTTTCTAAATATTCATGGTGGGAAAATGTTAAAAATTGCCTACTAGATGCTTTACTTCTCTCCGGTTGTATTTCCAGCAGTGACTTAAATAGTCCACTGGGAGCTGCACATCCAACATCTACCAATTTTAAATGAAAGTCAGGAGGGTGACTTTACTGACTAGACATATATATTTGCCTGGTATCCATTACAGTTGCTTGCATGGATGTGGCATATGTGGAATTCCTTGTGCTACAGCCTAGATTAAGCTATCTTCAGTCCTGTTACAAGATGTATGTGGAAAGGACTCCAAAATAAAAATTGTCCAATATCTGAATCATTTTGTGAACTATTTTTTATAAAATTGCACCATTTATGGAACCTTATCTGTTTCTATGGTGACAGATAAGAACAAATGGGATGTGACCCTGTCTGTCTCCTACACTGTTTTCAATATGGTGTACATTATCATCACTGAAAATCCAGTGCATTGTTTCCCAAGTATCATAAACTGAGAGTAACCAATGAGATCACAACAAGCCTTAGCATGTGAAGACTCACAGTAACAGAATTGCAGATGGGAGTAGTAGCCTGTTTCATTATTGCTAACACCAATTATAGCCTTGCTCTTAGAGATTTAGGAAATAAATAGAACATGAATTTATGTTTCTGAACTGGGTCCTGATGAATCACTTGGGATAAATATTTAGGAGTAGGGGACAGAAACATGCCAGGATCATTAACAAACCTGTGAATTGAAAAATCCACATCTGCCTTCGGGGTGCGCACATATACAGGGAAGTTGTCTGGTTTTCATTATAGTGGTGTGAATTTTCAAGAATTTTCTAAGTTTTCTCTGCTGCAGGTCATTTTAACGCCCAGTTACAAGTGCTGCTGTAATGTCAACAGACTCCAGTTGTTATATATGGGACTCCAACCCCAGGATCCCTATAGCTAATGAACAAACCTCAATTGCAAGAGGTAAAAGACTCATCTCTAATGCCCAGGCACTTAAATTGCACGTTGTTCTAGTGGCCACTTGAAGGAGATAGAGTGCAACACTAAGCAGGCATTACATTGTGCAAAAAGGACTTAATCCTGCTCTCATTGGGTTCGTCTACACTGCGCAGCTATTTTGGAATAAGCTATTTCAGAAGAAAATAGTGTGTTTACACAGCAAATGCCTACAGAAATAGCACTTAGCTCTTTTGAAATACAGCGTCCACAGCAATTGGACACTGAATCATATTTAAACCCACCCAGAACCTCTTCAAGCAGGGCACCAGGACAGCATTTACTTCCTGGAGCTGCTGCCTGAGGCTATCTGAGGCTCGTTCTTAACGACCCTCCCCCCTCCCCCAGGCTCCTCTCTTTTGCCTACCTCCTAGAGGGACAGCAAACCCATTCCTTTGCCTGCTGTGGTTGCCTTTGCTGACACCTCAGCTCTCTAGACATGGAGCTGGACATGCCTCCCAGCAGTCGATGGTTCTTATCCGTCATGCTGCAGCTCCTGCAGCAGTTTCTGCAGGCTGTCCTCCAGGTTCTACAGGCGTGCAACCCCCAGCTCCTTGCAGAGAACACCTGCCACTTCTGGCATCTGGACAGCAGTTCCAACTTCCACATGCGGAAGGACACCTTTCTGGAGCTGTGTGAATGGCTTGCCCCTGCTCTCAGGTGACGTGACACCCAGATGAGACCCCGCCACCCCCCTCCAGGAGCACGTCACCATTGGGGCCCTGGTGATGCAGGTATGGCACCTCAGACTATTGTCCCAAGAGGGGGGTGAAGTGCTGGAAAGGGTACCTTAGGGAAAGGGGGGTTGTTGTTGGTGGTGGTGGAAGCCCCCTACTCAGGAGGTTTTTCAGTGCTGCCCTCACAAGAAGATAGGGTAAGTAGGAAGCTGCTCCTGGTGGGGAGTGGGGAAGGGGGAGTGATGGGCTCAGGGACCTCCCAGGGGTTCAGGCAACCCTGTGATTCTCTGTTTGTTGATGGCCCTCACCACCTGGAGAAGGAGACAAACAACATCCTGCTACACAGTCATCAACCTGCTTTGCCGACATGGGCTTCCCCAGCTGCTATGTCACCTATATCCCCATCGAGGCTGCCGACCACCGGACATCTGTATACACCAACCAGAAGCGGTCCTTCTCAATTGCTCTGTAGGCCATCATGGACCACTGCAGGCACTTCACCCACATCTATTTGGGGTTGTCAGGGAAGGTGCATGATGGTTTGCATCTTCTGCAACTCCTGCATCTTCCAGAAGCTGCATGCTGGCACCTTTTTCCCCGCCCACACCATGAGAGTCTGGGATGGGGACATGCCACCTTGCATCATGGGGAATGCGGTTAATGAAGCCCCAGTTGCTCTGGTTAATGAAGCCCTACACCGGACACCTTGACCCCACCAAGGAATGCTTCAATGCCAGGCTCAGCAGGGCCCACATGGTGGTGGAAGGCACTTTCGAGACTCTGAAGGCGAGGTCTGGGTGCCTCCTCACCTGGGTGGACACTGGGGAGCAGAACATCCCCCAAGTGGTGGCCGCATACTGTGTCCTTCACAATATATGTGAAAGGAAAGGAGAGAGATTCCTGCCAGGGTGGGGGTCAGAGGCCAGCCAGCTTGGCAGAGCCTTCGAGCAGCCACGCATAGCTGCCATCTAGCAGGTCAATCGGGGGCTGTGCATATCTGGGAGGCCCCGAGGAAGAGTTTTTCACAAGGACCCCAGTGATGCTTTCTCCTGGGCCTCCCCACACAAGGGGCCTGTCCATTGCCCCTCTTGGACTTTCCTCCCACAACCTTCTCTTCTGTCCCTCCCTCCTCCCTTGCAGGGACAATAAAACACACTTTTTGTTTTGGAAAAAATAAACTCTATTTTTTTAATAGGCATAGAAATAACTGGGGAGGGACTGGGGAAAGAATCTGTGGGAGAGGAGGCGGGGGAATGAGAATCTTGGAGGGGGGTGAGGAGAGGCTCAGGTTTGGGGCTGGGAGTGGGAGTGGTGCCTGGCTCTGGTGGTTCTACCACCTAAAGTGCAGGGACCTCGGGACCATGGGGAGGAGGGGGCTAGGGGAGAGGCAGGAGCTGGGGCAGGCACCATGCTGGTGATGA